GAACACAAGCAGGGGGAGTGGGAGAGGGAGAAGCAGGCTTCCCGCCGAGCAGGGAGCCCGATGCGGGGCTGGATCCCAGGACCCTGGGATCGTGACCTGAGCCGAAGGCAGACACTTAACGGACGGAGCCACCCAGGTGCCCCTCCATTTAAATATTCTGATGGTACAGGCGCTCCTGTCTCTTGAATAGACTTTGACGCAGACTGGGCACAGCTGTCTCCCTGGAATTCTGAGGAAATGGCTGCCCTTTGGGGATGAGGAAGGGTCGACAGCAAAACAAGGGAGCAGCACAGGCATGTTTTGCGGATACTTCCCACACCCTGCACACCACACAAAGGGATCAGAGAAATCTCAGCAAAGCAGAGTGACAAAGTTACCTAAGAGAAACAGGGAATGTGTTAAAGGCAGAAGGGTGTGCAATTTATTTTTAAAGCCTGAAGTAAGAATTATCTGGCAAGAATATAAAACAATGTACTATTTTTTCCCTTGCATTAAGATATGGATATATCAGTTTGGCAAAGATCTTAGAAACTTAATAAAATGTTAACACCCATCCGGCTGCATCTTATCAGAATCCAGAGTCCCTGAGTCCTGCTTCTTTAAGATGCACCCATCTCTTAGGGCGCCTGGGTGGCTCAGTTGGTTAAGCGACTGCCTTCGGCTCAGGTCATGATCCTGGAGTCCCTGGATCGAGTCCCGCATCAGGCTTCCTGCTCGGCGGGGAGTCTGCTTCTTCCTCTGACCCTCTTCCCTCTCGTGCTCTCTGTCTCTCATTCTCTCTCAGATAAATAAATAAAAATCTTAAAAAAAAAAAAAAAAAAGATGCACCCATCTCTTCAAGCTTTGCAGTTCTTTGATCTGTTCTAACAGTCTGGCTGCTTCTATTGCCTTTCAGTGCATTGCCAGGCACCTGAAAATCCACTTTGCATACACACAATACTTTTTTGTTTTAATGTTGCATAAGATATATTTAGTGGTAGTGATCCCAATTTAAGTTGAAATTCAACCATATAAGGTGTTAGCCAATGCAAATAGCTCAGCTGTGTTGACAATCAGAGGAAAAGACACCTTGAACACATGGCCCAATGCACACAATCAGGTGATGCCATTCTGGGCAGGTGGCATGCTTCCCTTTACTCCAATTATAAAATGAATTGCAATTTCAGAGGCTTTCAAATGTAGAAAAAAAATAGGAAATACAGTGAGCTACAAGAGGAGCTGGAGGAACTGGGTATGGGAGAACATGATCAGAGAGAGGGTCATACTTATTTTCAACCGCAGGAATAAAAGAATGAGCATATAATGAAAAACAAGAACAGAGTTTTTGAAATCTGCCATTTGTGATGCCTTCTATGTATTCCTCATTTTAGGTTAGGTGCTTCATATTCATTTTATTTAGTTTTCATCTAACAGAATCTGGAAATAATTAAAGTGACTTTCTTGAGGTCACACAGTAGGAGCAAGCTGGACTTAAACTCTACCTTTCCTGTGGACAGCTGAAAAGCAGCAACTTGTGCCTAATAGCCTGGCTTATCTCTACAATCCTGGGGGATTTTAGAATGAAGGTTTACTCCCTTTTCCCATTCCTCACTCACCCGTGGGTCTCAGGTGCAGTCACGAACAGTAACTAGCTCTGCAAAGCCACAGAAATCCATGAACAGAATGACACCATTTATATGATCAGTCTGTCTGCCTCTGTATTCAACTAACTTTATTCATTTTAAGGTAAAATGGTCAGTCTTTCTACTCGTTTATGTCATTTTCAACAGGACTGCTAAGAGGCAGTCTCCATTATGTGCAGACAGCCTCCTCATGGGTGGAATCACAGGCTTTAAAGTCAGGAAGAACTGGATTTGAATCCCAGCTACTTGACTTTATGCCAGATTAACTTCCAGTAGTCTCTCTCTTCCCATCAGTAGAATGGGTTATTGTGAATAGCTTTCATGGTTATTGTAAAGCTTACAGGGGATAATATCTTAAAGCTGTGAGCATGGTGGCTGATACAAAGGAAGAATACCATATATTAAGAAAAAAAAAACCCTTCCTGTTTAAATTCAAATGATTTTAGAGTATAAAGAGAAAGAAAAAAGAAGGTTTGATTTGTAAGCATTATACTACATCTCTTTAGCTATCAACCTTTTTAAAGGCACAAGGGATAGGTACCAAATAAAATTTGAAGTTAAGATGGTTTCTTTAGTAGTAAATAGACAAGCCAAGATATAATGCCACAATGCTGACATGCCAATCTAAGATCTAAACAAACTGTCATAATAAGTAGACAAAGCTGTTGGTAATTTTTAGGAAATCTGGAAAGACCCAAGCATGTGCAAAACTTTAAAGCCATTAATTTCTTACTGCCTACCAACATAGAGAGTTCAACAGGGTCAGTGTGTGTGTCATTTTAATACAGCCAAGTGGGCAGGGCCCTGTCACACTAATAAAGTAGGTGCAGCTTAATTCCGGTAAAATATTCATTTTCATTTGATAGCTTTCTAGAGATGCAACTGGATTTTTTTTTTCCCTTTTTGCCACCGGGAAATTGATTTCTTTGTGTACTTATTAAATGACAATCTCTTGGTTACTGTACACAGTCTGAAATTTGAGATCATGCTTTACCTAGATGTGCCTAGCAGAACATGCTGGGGTTATATCTTGGTTTCAGCATGAGGCGGCTTCTCAGGCAGCTTGTCAGTCTGTCCCATTTTATTAGTATGTGATGGGTAAATGCATTGGACACCTCTCTCAAAAGAAGCTGTCCTATTTTCTATACCCCAAACACAGAATGTTTAAAAGAAATTTCTAGAAGTTTCTTTCTTTCATGGTTTTGTTTTTTTGTGTTTTTTTTTTGTTTTGCTTTCACTCCTTTTTGTCTAGAGGCACATTCTCTAGAACATTTTTTAAATGACTACAAGAAAACAATAGAGCCATCATTTCTATTCATTTTCTTCTACAGTATTAGAACTTCCATGACTAATTCCACTGCCCCTGATGAATAGCTAAAGCTACAGTGGCGGAGCATTTCTTCTGTAGAATGTGAAAGTCTGTGGTCTCATTTATTTTGCTACATGTCTTAAGAATATATGATTTTTTTTTAAATGTTACTTCTGAAAGAGCTTCACTGCAAAAGATATTTCTCATAGTGTCTCAGGCTTAATCAATTGCCCGTGATTTTGCAGGCCTTAATGGGAGGAGACACAGACAATGTAATGTGCATTATGCAAACTTAGCCAAAAGTGAGGCTGTGGAACAGTATCAGGGACACATTATCTCCCAGAAGAGTCGACACCATCGAGGCAGACAATTAGATTAGAGCATTTTCTTAACCAGGCCGGAAGTAAAATCTTGGGGACAAGATATTGTGCAGATTTGGGTAACAGCCCAAAAGGCAAGAATCTTGCTATAAGCTGTGTTTTGCTATATTCTAGAATTTGTAATAAGGCTGTTTCTTCTCGGAATTAAAGCAACGGGTTTTATTTACTAAAGTAGCAAAGACCCATAATGTGCTGTGGCCTGAATTGTACAAACATCTGCCTCTTTCTCAAAAACTGTAGGGAAATCTACTCAGCCAGCCAGTCACCATGAAGTTAGCTCATTTGGGAAGTATTGCAACTTTGTGTTGCAGGGAGAGGGAGTGCAGGATGATGAGTTCCAAAGAGACAAGAGTAGATAGGCAAGGGAATAAATCAAAGAAAAAGAGCCATGGTCTGTGTCCGAGGGTGCTCATTACACAGAAACACACACACAAAACAATGCAGGTTGAGGTAGAATGCATAATCCCCACGTGCCTGACCCCTGGGGATTGCTCAGGGCCTTATAAACATCGTCTAGCAAGTACTTAAACGGCCAGATTTAGCACTCTGTCTACAATAGATGCAGGAATGAAATTGTTTAGAAGCAATTACAAAGTAATATTTCAACAAGAACAAATGAATGCAGCACAGCTTCAGCACGTAAGTGCGGAGGGGGGTCACAGCATGAAGGCATCATCGAAGTCAGATGGAATTAATCATAAGAAAGTGCAGAGGGATGCTGGTCGGCATATTAGTTCCCTAGGGGCTGTGGCCAGTGCCTGCCCTACCCAGATAACTTCGCAGTCCTTCACGCACATCAACGGGGACAAGCAGAACAGAGGGGGCACCCAGTAGGTGCTTGGCAAGTGTTCAGGAGGCCTATTAATGATGCTGCTGAGGAAACCGTAGGTATAAAAAAATGACCGGAGCAGATATGCCAACCTAGCAAGTGATCACATAATCTCACCTGGAAGAGGTCGTGTGCCAAGAGAAAACGCCCGATGAAGAGAGAATCAGAGGGCATGATTCCAGTCTTGAATCTGTCGCTGGCTAGCTGTTTTACCTTCGGGGAGCTTTTTATTTTGTAAGTTCTTTGAGACTCAGCTATCTCATCTGTAAAACGAGACATTGATGTTTACCTAAGGGTTTGTTACGGAAGCTAAAGAAGATGCAATTGACAAGCATAGTGTCTGGCACCAAGTGGGTTCTCAACAAATGGCCAGTGTGCTCTTCGGTGTACAGATTGATAAGAGTCCTTTAGGGACTGGGTGTTATACGCAAACAATGAATCATGGAACACTATATGAAAAACTAATGATGTAATGTATGGTGATTAACATAACATAAAAAAAAAAAAAGAGTCTATTAGGGATGCAACATAGGGACCACTATCCATGGGTATTCAGAGACCCAGGGGCCAGAGGGGCATTGCTCACTGGGGATGGAAAACAGTTTTTTGGCTAAAAAAGAAAGAGAGAAGATGGAGCAAGTGAGTGAAAGTTTCAATTATCTGCATTGCCCTGAAATTACACAGAGTATCCTGATTCTCTTCTGCCTCCTACATGAGGCCAAGGCCAGGCCAGAAAAGCAATCATTTTTGCTGGTCCAGTGGCATTAAGTGGGCAGTTGCCAACACCAGTTCAAGGTGTGGAGACTGGGCTGCAGTGTAGCTGAGGAGGTATTTCTGGTCACCTCCAAACTCAAAGCATGTGATAAATGCAGAGAAACATCGAGAGCTGAAGACAAAATGTTTACCTGCAAGGTGCCCAGAGTGGGTTGAATGGTGGCCCCCACAAAAGATATGTCCATCTGGAAGTTATGAATGTGATTATATTTGGGGAGAAAAAAGGATCTTTGCATATGTCATTAAATTAAGGTTCTCAAGATGACATCATCTTGGATTACCTGGGTTGGGCCTTAAATTCAATAACAAATGTTGTTGAAAGATAGAAAACAAGAAACAGACAGAGGGCACATGAAGTCACAGACAGAGACTAGAGGTATGTAGTCATAAGCTTTGGGACATCAAGGATTGCCAGTGGCCATCAGAAGCTAGGTGAGGTATGGGATACATTCTCGCTCAGAGCCTCCAGGAGAAACCAATCCTTCTGACATCTTGATTTTGGACTTTTGGTCCCCTGAACTGTGAGACAATACATTTTTGTTGTTTAAAGCCTCCTGATTTATAGTAATTTGCTGTGGCAGCCCTAGGAAACCCAGACAGCTCCCACTTAGGGGGAGGAATCAAGTGGCCAGTGTGGGTGGGCATCACCACTGATATCGCCCAGGAAATTTATGTTCAGTCTGCCCACTTAATATTTGAGTCACAAGTTAGGGAGTGGTTCATGTTAAGTAAAGCTCTTAACCTAATTTTGCAACAAGAGTATTTGTCCTGTGTTTCAGAAATTTCCAGGAGTGTAGAAGATTGCACAGATTATGATGCTATAGACCGAAGCGAGAGCACCTTTTGGGACTTTCTGGCTGTGAAGAGAGTATCTACCGGTTAATCTGAATCTCCTGAGAGGGTTGATAAGGGACAGCGGACCCATTATATCCATGTATGTGATCATAATTATGTAACTTATACTGCAACAGGCTAGCCCCTGCTGATCCTTTAAGAAAGGGTTTAGAAAGCACAGATTCCATAAAGCAGGACAATTAAACCAATGAAAAAAGTAGCAGTTAGGAGCTGCAATCTTTGTACCCCCCATAGTTCCCTTCCATTCCAACACGAAACGATCCCAAAGCATCTCTGAGACTCTCAAGTGGTGGCACGTGTTAACTGTCTCCCCTTCCACTCACCCAGGCAGGATTCTATGAGGGTCCGAGGGGATAATTTGGATACCAGATTCACTCTATCCCAAATTAACTCAGAGAAGCATATGGATGGCTGTATTGAGCTGCCTCTGGGCATTTTAGGCTGATAATATGTTCCAGTTTAGTCAAATACATCTTCAATATTGCTGTGAGCTAATGGAGAGGAATTACACACATTTTCAAAATTTGACAAGACAAATAGGAGCTTGTTTCTCAGTTCTGATACAATGAATGTACCTTATGCCTTGTTTTCTCCAAATCTCATTTCAGAACACAAAGATACCATTAACAAGCTCCCCATGGTTCTTCCTTCCCTCACCTGGCCTATCTCACTTCTTTTCCTTCTTCCCTTCCACCATTCAAAGACAGAGCAGCCTGGAGGGAGTGTAATTAATGAGCTCCATCTCTGAGCAGCTGGGGGTGGGTGGACCACTGGAGCCAAAAAGTAAAGTGGAATTATCATGGGGAGGATTTCAGATCATTTGTTAATCTGCCTTTCTGCTTCTGGAGGGACAGAGCGGGTGAAAAGAACAGCAGGACGGAGTACAGCCATCATCCCACAAGGACTGGGTACAGGGAGAACCTAAAAGAAAAGCCCAGAATGGGCAGCAGCAGCAGGCATAGCAGCAACAAGAGAAAAAATGTGTACGGGGCAGCAAAAGAAAAAGGCAAAAATAAAATACAATGTGGAAAGAAATATCCCAGGAAGAAGTAGCAAAGCAAGTAAAGGGGAAAGGAGAGGAATAAGACCTAAAGAAAAGCAATTTAAATGAACACAAGCAGAGGTATCGAGAATCAAATGGGATTTCAAAAGGCTTAAGGCAGCAGAGAAAGGGAAGGTGGGAAGGACCAGGAAGAGAGTACTGTGGTCACTTATGCAAAAGGCTTAAGGTTTTTTAATTGGGTAGCCTATGGATGGGAGGGAGAGCTGGATCAGTCAGCTGTTTTTGCAAAACAAACCACACCCAAAGTCAGTGGTTTAAAAAATAACAAACACTTATTCTTGCTTCTGTGGGTCCCCTGGTGGTTCGTTCATCTGGTTTGGGCCTGTTGGGGAAATCTGCTGCAAGCATGGATCCAGCAAGGCTTGGCTCCTTCGTGCAAATTGGTCTCAGGTCTTTTCCACATGTGCTTCTTCTAGGACCAAAGAGGAAAAAATAATAGCCCCCCACAGAGAGGTCTTTCCATTGCATTGGCAGGGCTCAAGTGTCAAGCCATTTCCAGCTTCTGTTGCATTACATCTGCAAATATTCCATCGACCAGATAATGTCTTATGGCCAGGCATAAGATTAACGTGCAAGAAAAAACAATCTTCCCAGGGAGGTGGCAGGGAAGGAGTACACAGTTGAAGAGTATTCTGATCAATCATGAGAGTAAATGAGGAAGAAGAAATAGAAAGTTATCACAAAGGGGCACTGGGATAGTGAATGAGTGAATGGGATAAGTTTGAATGAGTGACAATAATGCACATTTAATGGAAGTAAGATACAACTTTATATACTTCATATCTATAAGGTCAAAGAAGACCATCACTTCCTGCAACCAGTATGTGAAGCGTAGAATTTCTTGTTTTCTTCTTCCCTTATTAACTTGTGCTGGAAAAGCATGTGGCTGTGTTAAGGTGGGCCATGCCATGGCCAGTTCATTTAAGAAATCATTACACAGGGGTGCCTGGGTGGCTCAGTTGGTTAAGCATCTGACTCTTGGTTTCAGCTCAGCTCACATCATGATCTCAAGGTGTGAGATGGAGCCCCGCGTCAGGCTCTGTGCTCAGCGTGGAGTCTGCTGGAGATTTTTTCCTCCTCCCTCTCCCTTTGCTCTCTGCTCCTTCCCCTCTGCTCCACCCCCCCCATTCATGCATACCCTCTCTCTCTCAAATAAATAAATAAATAAAATCTTTTAAAAAATTATACAATATTCCCCCATGATATGATAATTCTTCAAATCAATATCTGACTATTGATTTTAATCAGGAAACACATTTATAATACCATGCGAAATAATGTATTATGTAGAATTATAATGAATAGGTTGGCTTATAGAAATATTTTAGTAGGCATAATGTGTGAGATTTGTAAGATAGCAAAACAAGCTATGATAGAGTATAATCAAGAGAAGAGTAGATAGAGAACGAAATGGCCAATGGCTTGAAAATATCAAGCTCTTGGGTCAGTGTGAACAGGAAAGAAAAGAGAATAGCATTGCAATTTCCCCAAATAAATGTAATTAGAAAAATTAATATGATCAAATTATACCCAATTATAGCAATGGGTATGCCAAATTATAGAACTCAAAGTATATCATAAGGCAATGGGGATGTCTGGGCTCTAGTTCTAGCTGAGCTACAAAATTAACATTTTGCTTCTGGTACGTTCCTTCAGTTTCCTTTGCCTCAGTTTCCAATCTTTGAAACAGAGTCATTCTCCTAGTTAATCTATAAGGTTCCTTCTGGCTTACGCATTCAAGAAATTTTAATTGAGCATATACTTGTGACTTGATGCTGGGGTGCTCAGATGAAGTTAACCTGGCTTGGCTCTCACCTACTGAGGTGGGACCCAAAACATGTCATATGAATTTAATGTGGCACATGCCACATCAAGAAATACTTTAGGAGGCCTTGGGAGGTCAGAGAAGAAGAAAACCTGGGGTCATGGGAAGGCTGAAACCTGCACTTTCTGAAAGGTGGATTACAACTAATCGATTGAAGGGGAAAAAAGAGCATTGCAGATGAAGGCAGAAACAGATAGGAATAGAGGCAGGAAAAGTCCTGACACGTGCGAGAAATCAGAAGTATAGAGTCTGAACCAGGGATTAGTCTATAGTAGAAGACAAGTGAGGTCATTCAGATCCCTATATACTCTGCTAGAGTCAACAATGAGACATTGGGGAGTTTTCAGTGACAAGGTTTTATGGTGGGTTTGTAGTTTTAGATAGCTGATACCACTGGAGGATAGATGTTGGGAGCACAAAGCTTCAGGCAGAGAAACCAAGCAAAAGCACCTGCAATGTAACAAATAGATTATAAAAATCCAAACAGACACTAGAAGTGAGGATGGGGAGAGAAGACAGGTTGATAAATATTTAGGAAGCAAAATGAAGGGAGATAATCAGTTCACATTGGGACATCCTGAAATTGACATGTCAATGGAGACTCCAAGAAGAGGTACCAGCAAGCATTGCAATTTACTTGTAATTAAGAAACAGGAAAACAAGATCCATCCCCTTACACCACACACAAAAATAGACTTAAAATGGATGAAAGATCTAAATGTGAGACAGGAGTTCATCAAAATCCTAGAGGAGAACACAGGCGCAACCTCTTCGACCTCAGCCACAGCAACTTCTTCCTAGAAACATTGCCAAAGGCAAGGGAAGCAAGGGCAAAAATGAACTATTGGCACTTCATCAAGATAAAAAGCTTTTGCACAGCAAAGGAAACAGTCAACAAAACCAAAAGACAACCAATAGAATGGGAGAAGGTATTTGCAAATGACATATCAGATAAAGGGCTAGTATCCAAAATCTATAAAGAATTTATCAAACTCAACACCCAAAGAACAAAGAATCCAATCAAGAAATGGACAGAAGACATGAACAGACATTTTTCCAAAGGAGACATCCAAATGGCCAACAGGCACATGAAAAAGTGCTCAACATCGCTCGGCATCAGGGAAATCCAAATCAAAACCTCAATGAGATACCACATCACACCAGTCAGAATGGCTAAAATTAACAAGTCAGGAAACAACAGATGTTGGTGAGGATGTGGAGAAAGAGGAACCCTCCTACACTGTTGGTGGGAATGCAAGCTGGTGCAGCCACTTTGGAAAACAGTATGGAGGTTCCTCAAAAAGTTGAAAATAGAGCTACCCTGTGACCCAGCAATTGCACTACTGGGTATTTACTCCAAAGATACAAATGTAGTGATCCAAAGGGGTACATGCACCTCAATGTTTATAGCAGCAATGTCCACAATAGCCAAACTATGGAAAGAGCCAAGATGTCCATCAACAGATGAATGGATAAAGAAGATGTGGTGTATATATATATATATATATACACACAATGGAATATTATGCAGCCATCAAAAAAAAACAAAACCTTGGGGTGCCTGGATGGCTCAGTCATTAAGGGCCTGCCTTCGGCTCAGGTCATGATCCCAGGTTCCTGGGATCGAGCCCCGCATCGGGCTCCCTGCTCGGCGGGGAGCCTGCTTCTCCCTCTTCCTCTGCCTACTTGTGCTCTCTATCTCTCTGTCAAGTAAATAAATAAAATCTTAAAAAATAAAATCTTGCCATTTGCAACGACGTGGATGGAACTAGAGGGTATTATGTTAAGCGAAATAAGTCAATCAGAAAAAGACATGTATCATATGATCTCACTGATATGAGGAATTCTTAATCTCAGGAAACAAACTGAGGGTTGCTGGAGTGATGGGGGATGGGAGGGATGGGGTGGCTGGTGTTAGACACTGGGGAGGGTATGTGCTATGGTGAGCACTGTGAATTGTGTAAGACTGTTGAATCACAGACCTGTACCTTTGAAACAAATAATACATAATATGTTAAAAAAAAAAAAGAAGATAGTAGGAAAGGAAAAATGAAGGGGGAGAATCAGAGGGAGATGAACCATGAGAGACTATGGACTCTGAGAAACAAACTGAGGATTCTAGAGGGGAGGGGGTGGAGGGATGGGTTAGCCTGGTGATGGGTATTAAAGAGGGCATGTATTGAATGGATCA